GCCTCTGAGCCTCAGACGTGACAAATGGAGTAGGCACTGATGCCAAAGCTCCCAAACCCAGCAGTTTGAAGACTAAACTGTATCGACTGAGAATTTAATTGCTCCATAATCGCTGAGTAAACACTGGCTGGTCCATTGATCATGCCTCAGACTGGATGGGGAGAGAGAAAAGGCGGGAGGGATGCAGGGACAATGCTAAAGAAGGGCTCCCCCTGACTGCTTTTCTTCAAGGGTGTCCCTTCCTCAAGGTATCAAGGCATGCAGCCTCCAGCAGAGCCCGCAGCCATTGCGCACACACTCTGCACTCTAGTTAGCAGGTGACAGAGAGCCACGTGCCACTAGAGGGGTGGGGGCACAGGGAGGTTCTGGTTAATGCAGTGCTCTCTCAAAGCACGCAGTGAGAAATGCAGGCTATTTTTTTTTTTAATGGGAGGAAATGTAAAACCCAGTTCATAGAAAAATAAAACCCCAGAAGATTGCACACTAATACATTAACAATGGTTAATTCTATATGACTGGATTCAGTTTTTATTTTCTTCATCATATTCTTGTATTTTCCACTTTTCCAACAACTAGCAAGTATAACTTATAATCAGAGAAAATAAATGTTATTTAAGATTAAATGAAACGTCTCAAAAGATTTCTCCTGTGCTATTAAAAAAAAAAAAAAAAAAAATCCTAGCAGCAGCTCTGTGGAAAGAGGTTGCGTTTTGGAGTTAGACTTGGGCTCACCTTCCAGCTCCAGAACTGATTAGCAGTGCTCCCTCCATCAGATACTGAACTTCCATCCCAGATTCCTTATCTGTAAATGGGAGTAGCAGCTATCTCACAGAAGTAAGTGAGATAAAATGTTGAGAGTGTTTAGTGCAACATCCCTGACATGTTCAATAAATATTGTGTTCAATAAATATTAGCATCTCTTCCATCGTGGAGTAGGGCATGGGGTTCGAGGAGGAAGGACCAAATATTGGGGGTGAGTCAGTTTAGTCTCCTGGGGCCCAGAGTACCCCGCATCCCCATATCCTAACCTCTCTTGCATCCCAGGGGGCTGGAGATTATTTCAGTTTCCTCCCTAGTGACTCCCCTTTCTGACTGCCCCCCAAGCCTCCTGTCATTACCCTAATAAAAGTCAATCTTCCTCATCTTGTTCCATTGCCACCCATGGAGACAAATGGGCTGCCATTCTGCTAGATGCTGGGAGGCAGCTGGGCAGCTCCAGGGTCATTGTTTGGAATGTCACTGAGAGCCTGAGAGAGAGGGGAGCCCGAGGGATCGAAAATAGGATGCAATTACTAGCCTATTCAATTCCCCAGAATAAAGCCTTGCCATTAGCTAACAGTGGGGAGGAGGTGGGGAAGGGGGATGAAAGAGCCTGACACACTTGCTGCCCCCCGGTTGGCTCTGGGCCTAGTAACCCCAGTTCTCCCCTGTGGGCCTGTTACCCTAGTAAGCATAGGTTGTTTGCCTAGGGATGTGTGAACCTAGGCACAATGAAGCCTAGGACAACTCTAGGCCAGCCCCATAACTGTTCCACTGAACCCCAGGCCCTGGTGCCCATGACTCCGCCTCTCCTCTCACAGACACGCAGCTTTCAGACTTGTTCAATTTTGGGTCTTCCCACTTCTGGGAGCATTGCTCCCTGGCAGGCTCCTAGTCTCAAGATAGATTTCTCCTGACCCCATCACCCAAAAGGCTGCTCTGCAGGTGGCTGGGGAAGGCTGTCCTAGCACATGCTAACAAGGCTGGGGCTTCCCTGGGCACCCAGGGCTCTTCCCTGGACTGAGGGTTTGTCTCAGGCTGCAGCAGCAGCTCCTCTCTATCCATCTGATCTGCAGGGCTGTGGGCAATCAGTTTATACAGATCAGCTGCCGCTGCAACCCTCAAGGGATGAGTCCAGTGGCTCAAGGAAAGGGATTCTTGTTCAGCCTCACAGCTTGGGGTCGGGCAGGGTAGGGATAGATCTTTCAAACTTGTTGATCTTGGTCACCATTGGCTTCAGCCAGGGTGCATAGGAAGAAGGTGAGTAGGCCTCTATGGCTAGCTCTGAGATCACGCACCGAAGGCCCCAGTGATGGATCCTGAGACCTGATGGATTGGTTTGGATTCCTTACTGGGGTCTCCTGTAGAGACTAATTAACTTATTCCTAGAAACCCTCAGAGAAGGTTGATTTGGCTGGAGCCTGACTGAGCTGGAAGGAAACCAGACTGACCAGTGTGGGGGAATCTGGCTTGCCTTAGAGGGCTCTGTGACTCACCTACCTACTGCTGGCCCTCAGCCTGGTCTTTGACCACTATATTCTTGTAGAGAAATTTGCGGGGAAATTTGGGCTACACTCTCTGGAGGCGAGACATCTGGCTAAAGGGAAGGGACTAAGGGCTGTGAGGGGTTACTGACAGGGTTGGGAGCATAGATGCTGGGAGTCTGATGGGAGAAAACTTATCTCAGGATGGAATTCCCCCAAGAAACCAGGAATAGACAGACCGACTGACACATGCACTATTTGTCAGAAAACATCTAAATGGCCTTCTCCCAGAGTAGCCAAGAAACTGTCATCAGAGAGACAGACAAACGGACCAACAGATAGACAGACAGAAACACACTCTAGGAAGCTACAAACCAGACAGACAGGACAATTTGGAATAACTGGGAACAGAGACAGACAGACAACATCTGGACCAACTTGGGAGCAAGTCTCTGCCTCACCCAGTAGGCAGTACTTACAGGTCCTTCCATGAACCAATGTTCAAGAAAACCTCCCACCTCCCATCCTCCCTCCCCTGAACACCTCTGACCAAACCTTGGCACCTTCTCCCCAAGGGGAAACTGAGATAATAGGTTTCCTACCATCCCATTCTAAATCTTGGAAAAGAACTCTATTCTTTTGGAACCTGGCCTTCATGAAGCAGCAGCACCCCTCCCCGCCCCCACATACATACACCTGCCTCCCTCCTACCCCTTCCCACCAGCAGCCAGGCAGTCAGAGGAGTGTTGGCACATGGAAGAGTGGGAGGGATGAGCATGAGAGAGAGGAAAGATGGAGGAAAACCCAAAGGAGCATTTCTGTTGGTGGGCATCCCAGGACTGAGCTTTCTGATGACATGATGTGACCCATTCTCACCAATACCTGGTGCTTGGGTGGCAGCAATTAAATATTTACTGGGTTGAGTTGGATTGATGGGACAGGAAGCAGACTAGACAGCTTTTCTTGCTTACCCTTCCCTGCCAGGGAGGACATTTTTAGGAAAAAGACAGCCACATGTCTGAACAGTGACAGCTCACAGATGAGGCCAGGGTCCCCTACCTCTTTTCCCCTAGACCACCCTTGTGCCACTCTACTCTCTGTCCTCTCTCCCTTCTCGCCCACTGTCTCATTTTCCCATTTCTCTCCTTCCTTCCAGTTTCCAGGAAAGCCATTTTCAATTTGGAGGCATCGCAGTGCCCCATTAGATGGGCAGCTCCTTAAGGATCTAAGTGGCAGCACTTGTCATTATGTCCTGGCACAGAACTTGGCACAGAGACCACCCAGGGCATCACACAGAGCTTGGCCTTTTAGCTTCCAACTTGGTCAGCTACAGGGAACAACCATGCCTCTTGTAGTCCTGGATCAAAGGATCTGGAGGTGTTATTGTGGTTTAATTCCCTTAGTTCCCTCCTCAGAGTCCTGCCTCATCCCTGACTCCCTTTGACTTCCCTTTAAGGGAAAAAAAGCAGTAATTCCTTTCAGTGGGTGGTTTTCTATCCTTAAGCTTAATAGCTACCATCTCTGATTACTATCTAGTTATTTTCCAAGGAAGAAAGGGAAAGATCATTAAATCTTAAACTTAAAAGGTGCAAGTAGTGGGAGTCAAATGCCCTAAGTGTGCATCTGGGCATTGGCACTCACTGGCTGTGTGACTGTGGGCAAGTCCCTTGACTGCTCTGAACCTTACTCTCTTCTCACGTAAGACAGGGATTATAAAACCTGGTCTTATTTCCCCAAGCAGTTCGGAGGCTAAGTGAAATTATATGTAAATGTTATTTTCTAGAGGAACCGACCCCTTCATTATACAGATAGGGAAACTGAGGACTAGGGGAGTTAAGTAATTTGCCCAAATTCATTCCGACAACAGGAAACTAGATGGGGCAAATTTTAGTCCAGAATAGAACTATCTTGACTCTAAGCATAGTAAAAAAAACAAGTAAAGAGAAATATGCAGAACTGTGAGACAGAAAACTTGGTGGAAAAGAGAAAAAAATAAAGTATAATAAGGGACAGAGACTGACAGCATACACAGATCAAGAAGAGAGAGAGTGAAAATTCATGTGGGCGAGGATGAGGATAAATGGAGGAACAGAAACGCAAAGAGACAAATGAATATAGAAGGAGAAAGATGAAAGCATGATGGAGAGAGACTATAAGGAAAAGAGAAAGGAAGAAAGAGGGTATATGAATAACTCAAAATAAGATGAAGAAGAAAGCCTAGGGACAGTGACACCAAACACTGACTTTGCAATACTCCTCTTCCTTCCCAGTTTGTCAGCTAACTCAAAGAATGTTGAAACATCCCTAAAATTAAAGTCAGTCATCTTGGCTCCTTTATGGAAGGAGAAAATTAGAAAGAAAAATGTAAATGTTTGATATAAAAGAAAGGATGGGTCCTGTCATTGGTTGAGCAACTGCTGAGTGCCAGACAATCTATCATGGGACATGTATATGTAATCACATTTATTTCCCTTGATGTTTAAAAATGAATTTTATATAGGCCTTTTAGAGGGGAGGAGCATAGATTTAGGATTTGAATAAGAAGGCATAATGACCTCAAAAGTTGGGAATCGCTCATCCGGGGTCCAGAGGAAGGAAAGAGAAATGGAAGTATGAGAAAGGAGGTAAAAACAAACAAACAAAAACACAAGACATAAGAGGAAGAGCCCAAATGGCGAAGGCTTATGTGCTTTGTTCTGAGGGGTGGGATGGTGGGGAGTGGGGAAGAGGGAAGACCATCCACCAATTACTTCCCACCTGTGGGAGGCCAGGTCGGAGCAGGCGGGCTTCTGCTCGGTGTCAGCAGCTGGGCAGCAGAACTGGTGCAGCACGGTCTCATTCCTGAGGGCAGAGCAGAAAGGAGAAGGTCAGGGTGCTGCCAAGACAGGCTTGGCTCTCTGACACCAAGGCATTTCTACCCTTAAACCTTGACTCTGTGTCACCGCAGTCTCCAACACTGCTCCAGAGAAGGAAGTATAGCATCGATTCTCTGTCACTCAGGCCTTTCCAGTCATCTATGAGGCCCAATTCAAACACCGCCTCCTGCATACTGCCCCCCCAATCTCCCATCAACAGAACTCTTCTGATTTCTGCACCCCGACCTCCTCAGTAGGCTCCTCTACATGTATATACTGTTCATTCCTTCTATCCTTTATCATTATCATAGTTCTTTATAACCCTGTTCCCCTCTACACTCTGGCAAGGCAAAACTAGGTCTAGTCATCTGTGATGCACAGAATTGTATGCAGTAAACATTTTAAAGCTGATCATATGCAAAAATACAAAGCACTCATGCAGAGACTCGTACAGTGTTGCCAGCTGAAAATGCAAGGTGTGGTGCTTGACAGATTTGTTTGATGCAGATGAAAAAGCCAAACCAGGAAGCAGAGATCTTGGGTTCTAGTGCCAGCCAGCCAGCTGTGTGATACCTAGCTCACCTTTTCTTGGTCTCAACTTATTTCCTGGTGAAATCAAGAAGCTGAACTAGAGAAGTGGTTCTCAACCCTAGTTGCTTATTAGAATCACCAGATTTTTAAAAACTATCCCTATCTGGGCCCTAACCCTCAGGGACTGACTCACTTGGTCTGGCCTGGCTCCGGGGCACCCAGAGCAGTTCTAAAGGAAGCTAGAATTGAGAGCAATTAGACTAGATAATTTCCAAGGTCCCTTCCACCTCTAAAATGCTGCGATTCTAATATTCACTCTGAGCCAACTTGAAATTTAATATTGAAACTACTTTTGCATAAAGTAATGCTGTCCATTGCCTTCTCTCCCTCAGCAAGCAGTCACTGTACTGGGTATTTTGGAATCAGAGAATGTCAGACCTGGAAGAGCCCCCCAAAGATTACATGAAAGGGATTTTTAAACTTCTTTAGCTTCAGAACTCTTTGTCCAAACCCTGTCTTTACTGGAAGGTGCTGAGTTTGCCTATCCTCATGGAGGAATAACATAGGGGCCTACCTTAAATTGACAAAAATAAATTCCAGAGATATTGCATGATTAAAGGAGAAAAAATAAAATGGAGGAAAATGCAGAAAGTAACTTAGGAATAGAGCCTATGTGTTGGGGAGACTTAAAACAAAACAGGAAATTGAAAAGCCAGTATGAAAAAGACAAACATATCTGACTCCATAAAAGAAAAACATCTAGTATGGGAAAAGATATCTTATTAAGTCAAAAGACAAATGATAGAATGGGAAAATATATTTGCAGCACATATGACAGAGGGCACGTTAATATCCTATATTGAATTCCCCAAATTCATAGTGCAAAGGCAAACTCAGTAGAAAAAAAAATGTCCAAAGCATACAAATTCCAGTTGATAGAGGAGGAAATCCAAAAAGCAGATAAATATATGGAAAGATGCTCCACTCTATAGTAAACAGGAAAATGGAAATTAAAGCAATACTGAGGTGCCCTTTCCCATCTATCAGACTGGCAAACATTAGAAAGACTACTAACTACAAGTGCTGGGGAAGATGTGGGGAGTTAAGCGCCTTCATGCATTACCTGTGTAGATGTGAATCTTTACAGCTGTTTTTGGAGATAAAAAAGAACACAAATCTTCTGACCCAGCAATCCTACCTCTGGAATTTTATACCCTAGAAATGCTAGCAGCTGTTCGTAAAGATATTTGTACAAAATGTTGTGGCAGTTTTGTTTTCAGTTGAGGGAAACAAAACAACTGGAAATAACCTGAATCCCAATCAGTCAGGGAATGGATGAGTTGATTGTGATAGTTTTATTCACACTGTGGAATTATGCACTATATCTCTTGACCTGATTGGATTCTACAACATGTGGCTAAAGGAGAAAAGCAAGTTGCAGAGAAATGTATATAATTTTGTAAAATAAACAATGGCCACTCTCCCCTAAATGCAAATTCTGTATATTGTGATATATTCATATATGAGTGTGTACATAACTAAGCTGTTAACATGGGGCACCTCAGCAAGACAAGAGTGGGAAAAAGAAGGCATAAGTAAGAAAAGGAGAAGAAAAAACACGTTTGGTGTAATGTTAACTGAAAATGTTAAATACAAATTTTTACTTATGATATTACCGTAAATACATTAAAATTGAATATGAACCTGGAAAAGGACAAGGAAGTGTCAGGAGCCAACACAAATATTAATGTCATTTCAGGATGGATCACAGGCAATTTTCATCTCGGATTTTTATTAATTTAATAGATTAGTGATTATAGATTATAGGTTAATATTTAGTGCAATGAATACAGCTTTTTAAAAGAGCAATAAAGCAAATAATTGAATCTGACTCCTCATTTTACAGATGAGAAAGCTGAAGGAAGTGCTTTGTCTAGACTCATTTCCTGACCAAAGTCCCAAGTCAGTCTTCCAGTCGCCCCCACCGTCCCCACCCCAGCCCCAGGTTTCTGGGGCAAATCAGAGCCTTTAGAGAACTGTCTAGACCTTGGTGTCGAGTGGCTCCAAGGGCTGCTTGGCATGTGGAGTAAAGAAGAAGAAAGGTGTAGGTAGGGCAGTAGGGCTCAGAGCCTAAGCAATGGAGGGGCAGGCAGACCCAGGTATGCAGACAAAGCAGAGAACCTACCCCCAGTTCCTACCACCAGGTGCACCTGTGTCCCAGCATGAGTTCAGAACTCTGACAAAAGCCCCTGAGAACTGAGGCAAAGAGGCACAGCTTGTTCATCACGTGCTGTACACACATTTCAGGAAGGAGAGTGCACCTGAACACAGTCATGGGTTGGCATGGCGGTGCCTGGGGCCTCTGTTTTGATCCTGCCTCTGTTTCCCAGAGGCATCCTTCTAGGGCTGGGAGCTGCTTCTCCAGGCACTGAGGCAGGCTCCAGGTGGTTTTCCCAAGTCTGCAGATTCAGCTGTGTTGGCCCATGCAATAGGCAACATAAGCCTGGCTGTCCATAAGGCCTTCTATACCTCAGGCTTGGGATGGTGATGCTATTGGAGTTGCACTCTTTTTGGGTTCATGCTGATGGGGTCCCTCAGGACAATCCAGCTGAGAGGGCAAGTTTGCCTCCAGCCCTTCTCCAGTTTCTCCTCTATCCACCTCCTGCCTCATGGGCCTCCTCGACCTAGGCCAGCAGCTCTCCGTTAGAACCTCCTTGCTTGTGTTATCTTGGGGTTTAGTTCATAATGAAATATAAGTCCTCCTTTGTCTGCTTTTGATCAGCCTGGCCGCCTCCCCTGCTCAAGGTCACGGTCTAAGTCCCCTGACGTGGGCAGGTCTTAGCTTAAGTTGGCTGAACGTTGCTTTCGGCCTCCCTGACTTCCTTTCCTTTCTCCCCAAAAGAGAATCCAAACAAAGGCACCCAAAGAATTTGTTCCCATTAAAAATAAAATTGGAGATGTGATGAGAAGGGCACTTCTCTTCCGTGGTATTCTTCCCCCAACCTATAACCCCAGTCTAACTGTGAGAAAAACATCAGACCAACCCAAATTGAGGACATTCAACAAGATATCTGACCAGTACTTCTCAAAACTGTCAAGGTCATGAAAATGAAAAAGAGAAACTATCACAGACCAGAGAAAACTAAGGAGACATGACAATTTTCACCTGATACCCTGGGTGGGATCCTGGAACGGTAAGAGGATATTAGTGGAAAAACTAGTAAAATACAAATAAAGGCTACAGTTTTGTAGATTCCTATATGATAGAGAATTAGACAGACAGATGATAGATAATAATATTTGGACAGCAAAATACTAATAATTGTATTTTAGCACTTTATAGTGTTTACTATGTGGCAATACTGTTCTAAGCCCTTTCCACATTAACTTGTTAATTCTCACAAAACATCCAACAAAATTTTCTCATCACTCTCCAGGTAAGGAACCTGAGGCACAGTGAGTTTGTGGACCGCTGATGAAACATCATGCATTTGACATAGGCCTCATTTCTTATGACAACTCTTATAGTATGTTTTATCATTCTCCCCCTTTTTTTAAAAAAAAATAAGAAAACCAAGACTCAGAGGAAGTAAGTGACTTGCCCAAGGTCACACAGCTGGTTAGTAGGAGAGCCTAAAACTCAGTCAGGTTTTGAAATCATACAGCCCCCACTTCACCCTGAAGTGAGCTTGGAAAGGGTTTTCTCAGAGCTACCATGTGGCACAGTTCTGGAGACATGATTCATATTGTAGTCTGTGTGGTTCACACCTAAGGCTGTATCTCTAGGAGTTCTGGAGCTGGAAAGGACCCAAGGATATTCACAATACAAAGGGCCCCTCTGAAAAAGGAAAATGACCCAGTTATTGGCTTTTGAAATTCCAAAGAAGGGAAGTTTTTGATATAAGGCCAAAAGCTTATTTCTTGGATTCTTAATTCCAGGGCCTAAGATTTTAGGCAGAATTCAGTCCTTCCTGGCTTTAGTGATCCCAAGTGCTCCAAACTGATGAGTTTTGATGGAGAAGCTGGATTGTGGGTGGATGTAATAAAACCTAAATGGGGCAGTCTGGACCTAGAATGAGGATTTTGATGTGTTGCTTATCCCTGGTCATGTTGGGAGGAGGGACAGGGAATGAGAGGAGCAGAGTGAGGAGCAGCTGGCTCAGGGAATTTCAGGCATCACTCAAGCAAGATAGGGGTTAAGGGTCTTCAAAGAAGGCAGCGTGGACCTGAAGGAAGAGGAACCTAGGGCTCAGGCAGAAAAGGACTCTGTTTCTTAACTAGGAAGCCAAGAAGAGAGTGGTGGTGCTGCCAGAGGAAGAACAGAGACCCAAGAGGCCAGCTGGCTGGCTGGAAGGAGAAGAAAACATCAAGTGCTGCAAAGAACTAATTAAAGCTTCAGCCAGGGCCAGGAACTTGAAATTATGGGAGGCTGTGCACCTATAACTTCCCACATCT